GTGGATTGAACTTGGTCGAGTTAACAAGACTTTTGATGGCCTCTACGATATGATACTCAGAGATCAGTTTCTGTTCATGTGTAACAAAGAATTGACATTGTTTTTGAAAGAACGCATACCGAAAAACATCAGAGAAATGTGTGATTTAGCAGATCAGTTTAGAGAGGCAAGGCATGTTAACATTCAGACATTAGTTCATTTTAGCAAGAAAGAGAACTCTCCAGGAAAAAGTCAGGCATCGAGAGAACAGGAACAGCGAGATCAGAAGCCAGGATTGAAGTTTCAACCCATGAAAACTCCAATGAAGAAAGACGTTCGTTGCTTCAAGTGTGACAGACTGGGCCACATAGCGTCTCAGTGCCACCAGACTCAGAAGAACCGGAACTCAGTGAATGTTGTCGTCGATCGTACAGAAAAGGAATCTACGGCAAAGAACTCAGAATTACAAGGCAAGTGTGGAACTTTTACTTCTTTTACAAACACATCAACATTTTCGATGGCGTCAAATTCAATGGACCTTGTAAACACTTCATCATGTAACGTTAGTGCATCTCTTGAAGATATGCCTACCTGTAAGGGCAAGTTGAATGAACATTTTGTGACAGTGCTTAGAGACACTGGTTGTAACGGTGTTGTAGTTCGTAGGGATTTGATAGATAATGTTCAGCTTACGGGAAATCATCGAATTTGTGTTCTGGCGGACGGATCTAGGATTCAGGCACCTGTTGCGCGAGTGAAAATAGACACTCCTTACTTTGTGGGTGAAATAGACGCTTGGTGTTTAGAAAATCCATTGTATTCCTTGATCATAGGGAACATCCCCAACGCAAGAGATCCAAAGGATCCGGATAGAAACTGGACACCTTATCAAGCGCATGCAGTAGTGACAAGGCAACAAGCTAAAAAGGAAGGTAAGAAGACTAAATCTCTTCATGTTCCAGATATCATTGACGCTGAGATATGTCCTGACGACATCAAGGCAGCACAGGAGAAAGACGAGACGTTAGCCAAGATACGCTCTTTGGTAGGACAAGACGATGACTCCAAGGTATCTTACATTAGTAAGAAAGGTATCATTTATCGTGTCTTCCAGTCAGATAAACATCAGAATGGTAAACGTTTTACACAGCTAGTTGTACCAATGAAATATAGGACTAAAGTTCTTTCGCTTGCTCATGAGTCTATTATGACAGGTCACCTAGGTACTTCCAGGACAGCCAGCAAAGTCCTTGCAGAATTTTATTGGCCGGGAGTTCAAGCGGACGTACGTCGATTCTGCAGATCATGCGACATCTGTCAACGTACTACTCCGAAAGGCAGGACTACAAAGGTACCACTCGGAGATATGCCTATCATTGAGGTACCGTTCAGACGTGTAGCTGTCGATTTGGTAGGACCTATCCAGCCAGCAACCAGTAAGGGTAATCGTTACATTTTGACTATTGTTGACTTTGCTACCCGTTACCCAGAGGCAATTGCTTTAAAAGGAATTGACACTGAACGAGTCGCTGAGGCTCTGGTAGATGTATTTTGTAGAGTAGGAGTACCGAAGGAAATGCTCACGGATATGGGGTCACAATTTACATCCGAGCTGATGACAGAGGTTAGTCGTTTACTTTCTATACGACAGTTAACAACGACACCGTACCACCCCATGTGCAATGGACTGGTCGAGCGGTTCAACGGTACATTGAAGCAGATACTCCGACGGTTATGTGCGGAACGTCCTACTGATTGGGATAAGTATCTATCAGCCTCATTGTTTGCTTACCGTGATGCACCACAGGAGAGTCTAGGATTCTCACCGTTTGAACTGGTTTACGGACACGAAGTTAGAGGACCTATGAAGATTTTGAGGGAGTTGTGGACTAAAGAAGTAGCAGATTCAGAGGTTAGAACTACATACCAGTATGTTGTTGATTTGAAGGAACGACTAGAAGCTACGTGCAGATTAGCGAGAGAGAATCTACAAAAGTCGTCAGAGAAATACCGGAAGTATTATAACAAGGGAGCACGGAACAGACAAATGTCAAAAGGTGAGAAAGTTCTTATTCTTTTACCAACTGCCAGTAACAAATTACAAATGCAATGGAAAGGTCCATATGAAATTATAGAGAGACTAGGAAAAGTTGATTACAAAATTAACGTGAATGGAAAAATCAAAACATTTCATGCAAATATGTTGAAGTTGTACATTGACAGAGCAAACGAGAGTAATGATGAGACAGGTGTTCTAGGTGTTGTAGGCGCCGCAGTACTCGATCTAGATGATGATGGAGAGAGCGACGATGAGCTGTTATGTGATTCTCTAGGAGAAACGAAAAAAGAGGGACCGGCAGATGTGAAAGTAAGTGATGAACTAACTGAGAATGAAAAAGCAGAAGTCAAGACATTACTAGAGAATTTTTCAGATGTTTTATCAGATGTACCTGGTTTGACGAATCTCGGAGTTCATCATATCAAGTTGACTAGTGACCAGCCTATTCGCACCAAACCTTATCCTCTGCCGTTTACTTCAAAAGACGTTGTTTGTGACGAGGTAAGAAAGATGGTGGAAGCCGAAGTGATCGAGCCTTCGACGAGTCCATACAGTTCCCCGATAGTCATCGTGAAAAAGAAGGACGGTTCGAACAGGTTTTGTATCGATTTTCGTGCAATTAATAAAGTAACTGTTTTCGATGCAGAAACCATTCCAAGTGCTGATGATATTTATGTACAATTATCTGGCTGTAAATATGTGTCCAAATTTGATCTATGTAAGGGATACTGGCAGTTACCTTTGGATGATGCAGCGAAGGAGATCACCGCTTTCCAAACGCCACTTGGTTTGTTTCAATTCAGGGTGATGCCCTTTGGCTTGATAAACGCTTCCGCAAGTTTCAGTCGCCTGATGCGTAAGCTCTTAGACGGAATGCAGTGTGTGGATAACTTTATAGACGATGTGATTGTGTACACTCGAACATTTCAGGAACATGTTAATGTAATTCGGGAACTTCTGCTAAGACTTCGTGCTGCGAATTTGACTGTGAAACCAAGTAAGTGTTTTATTGGTTACCGGAGTCTTGAGTGTCTCGGACATATTGCAGGAAATGAAGAACTTAGACCTCTTCCTGACAAAGTTTCCGCCATTCACAACTTTACCCAACCTTCAACGAAGAAGCAAGTGCGATCATTTTTAGGTCTGGTAGGATTCTATCGTAAATTCATTCCGAATTTTTCAGCTATTGCTTCGCCTTTATCAGATCTTACCAAGAAAGGCCAGCCGAACGAAGTGATTTGGAAAGAGCCACAAGAAAATGCATTCATCACTCTCAAGAACGCTTTAACGGTAACACCAGTTCTCAAACTACCTGATTTAAATGAAAGCTTTGTTTTACAGACAGATGCGTCAGATCGTGATGTTGGGGCAGTTTTGATGCAGTACGAAGATGGTGTGAAGAAACCTGTCGCATACGCTAGCAAGAAACTTTCCAAATGTCAGGAAAATTACTCTACAATCGAGAAAGAGTGCTATGCGATAATCTGGGCAGTTCAAAAGTTCCGCAGGTATTTGTATGGTAAGGAATTCCTACTAGAGACAGATCATCAACCACTAGTATATCTTACCAAAGCCAAGGTGTCTAATGCACGTCTGATGCGCTGGGCATTACTTCTGCAACCATACAGGTTTCGCATTATTTCCATCAAGGGTTCTGAAAATGTAGGAGCTGATTGTCTTAGCAGAATTTAGATATGTATATAATTATATATAGTCGATTTTATGCTATAATTGATTGTGTTTTTTTTCAAAAGTTCGTTGAACTTTCTTATGTTGGGGAGATATTGTCACAATCAATATTTAATTTTAATTGCATTTACATTATGTTTATGGTTTTTATTTTATTTACCCTTTACTGGACCTCTATACTTTTGTTACCTTATTGAACCTCAGTTAAGTTTTGCAGGTATTGGTCAGTTACGACCTATTGTATTTTGGGGTATTTAAATCGCTGCATAGCTGACCAGGTAACCAGGGTCCACGTTTTCATAGCTTTTAAATGGTTGACATACAGTCCAAGATGAGTGGCTAAATTTTTTCTTTCAACGGTAACCATTTCTCCAAAGGGGTAAGTTTGTTTTTTATTTCATATGTAAGTTTTTGAGTAATACATTTAAAACGTAGAACTATTTAAGAACTTGAGTTAATTAATGTTTTTGTTACTATTTACGTATACAGGTTTTGCTGGGTAGAGTTACTCATGCGTTTATTGTTCTATTTTTGTGCAATGTACTGAGTTATATACGCACGTAGGCTATTTTGTTTTGCCGCTTATAAAGTCGGTGTTGTGTGTTTAATAGTTAAAACCACTTTTGTTAAGATGTTGTGTATTCTTAACGTTTTTCTTATTATAATAGTGTTCGGTTAAAATTACCGGGACTGATTGTATGGTGTGCCATAAGTGCAATTGTAGTCAATGGTGACTTGAGTTTTCCTTTTGTATACGTGGCTTGTGACTTAAAAAAATGTTATTTAATTCAAAGGTTCCTGATGTAATCCAATAATCTAGCCGTGTGTGTGTGTTGGTGACCACCTTAATCAGACCGGGATACCCACTGGGAGCCAGTTGGCGGGAGTCCGTCGTGAAACGGGGCGTGTCTGTGTAGACGTGGTTCGGAGCCAACGATATTGAGGATTATAAGAAACTTTAAGTTCTATTTATTGTAAATAAGAGCTGCGTAAATATATTGTGAATATTAGTTTTTATTGATTTTATTTATAGATAAAAAATTGTAAATAGAAAAAAAAATCTTGTTATATCTGACTGGACAGAGCACGACGGCTGTCGTGACAATATATAAATACACTGTATATATATATGATCTGTATCTTTGTCTTTGCCACAGGTCTGTAGCTCATTTACATATCTGAAAAATTAATGGGATAATTTTTGTATCCTTTTTTTTCATCTGCATGGCCAGTGAGCTACATACCTGAAGCTATATCTTTCCATTCTTTTTATATAACTTAAAATTGAGTATTGAATTGAAGAAAGTTTTTTGTTAAATATATATTTATCAATATTTTTTCTGCATATAATCATATCTTGGAGGGGCAGATGGTGTGATGACTTCAAGTTCAAATCTGTCGAATCCACCGTTAAAAGGGTCTTTGGTAGATCTTGGTCCATAGGGGTACGGATTGTAGTCGGCGCTGTTTCTGCTCTCACGTCTGTTCTGTCTTCCATATTCCCTCCCGAGGTCACCTGACTTTTTGTAGTCACGTGGGGTGTCACCAATTGATGTTACCATGACGTCAGATGGTCGTCTGATGACTTTGTCACTACGCCCGTCGTCTCTGCTTAGAATGCTGTCAGATTTTTCCAGACGGTTGTACCTGCTGCCCTGATCAGGGTAAACTGTGGATTTTGGTTTGTATTTATTTTCCTTAATGTCGGGAACCAGACACATTGCAGTGATAAGGACGAGGGCGGAGGCGAGAGCGGAGAGGCCCATGGACCAGGCGGGGTAGTACGGCGACTCCACTTGTAGGATCCATAACACAATCCCAGCGATAGCAAGTCCAGCTAAAAGAATAAATAATAAAAGCACAATACGGGGTATATAAGTAGTTTTCAGAGATATATAAATTTAGGATTTTGAGAAGCGAAGTTACCTGCTATGAGCGTGACCAGAAGCAGAGCCACTGCTACTGCCCGTGTGCGGCACCTCTCGGTGGCCACATAAAAACCGCTGACGATGAGGCAAATAAACATAAGTCCTCCAGCGGCTACCTCAAACCACCTCACCAATGTAACTTCAACTGTAAAGACAAGAGAATTTATACACCGTATAAATAACCTATTTCTTTTTAAAATTTGGCTCGGAATCGTTTGAGATTGGAGTTCTTCTAGGCTCCACAGATAAACAGATCATCTCTAAGCAGAAATCAAACAGTGATTAACTAAACCAAAATAATTTAATTATTCTAAATTTTACCCTCGATATCTTCAATACTCTCAAAAACCTTTTTTCCGAAGGTTTTTCTTCGTCTCATTTAGTCCGAAAAATCAAGGTTTTACTGTATAAGTTGGTCACTAAGAACCAAGAAAATATATGTATTTTGTTGTTTTTGTACACCAATTAAAGTTTTATTTATGATCATGATTTCTTTCTTGTTCCTTTGTTCCTTTCTTTGTTTTTTTTTAAACCAAAATTTGTATTTTATATTTTTGAGTCGTAGATGGAAGTTCTCCTAGTACAATATTAAAGGTAAATTTTCATTTCCTTGTGATGTCATAGGTTTTTGCAAAAACTGTTTTGGTTTTAATTTCATACCTGATATCTTTTGCAATAATTCATTTCAATACATGTAATCAATATCGTTGAGTAAAAAAATTTAAAATGTTTATCTTCTATATTTAATAAATTATTTCAATCTTTTAAAAAAATATGTTAACTTTATTTTCACAAATTTTTTAATTAGTACAAGATAGCGATCGATATTTCAATGAAAATGAGTTTTCGAATATACCTGAAGTTCATGTATTTACAAAAGGTTAATTTTTAATGATATGAAGTATTTGATATATATGTTTTGAAAAAAAAAAGAAATACATGTAATTGCCAAAACGACTTTGTGTGGCTCCATTTTAAGCTTTTAATTGAATAAAAAAAATTACAACTTAATAGTGCATCTTTATCATTTAGGGAAAACATACACTACTTTTAAATGAACCATAAATCAGTTTCATATGTGCATAAATAAAATAATTTTCGGTAATTTAGTTCGTTATCTGATTAAAACTGACTTTCTTCTTCTCATAAAATTGAATAAATGCATATTTCCCTCAAAGTGTAGGAAGAACAACTACTAACATTTTGTGAAAAGATCTGTAATATGTGTACATGTAAGGGTTATGTTGAAGGGCTTACTTTCTTGGAGTTTTAAAATGTAACTTGAATCTAATCCTGCAGGTGCCTGTAAATGAATCAGTGGCAGCCATTATTCCTCTGGACTCAAATGGAGATTTTGAGAAATGTGTGAAGAAATCTTCAACCCAAAATCAAACCAAGACATGTGATCAAGGGTGGACATATGGAAGTGAATTTGATTCCACCATATTAACAGAGGTACATACCGGTATACAAAATTTCAGTTGAAAATAAACTAAAAATCCACAGAGCATTATTTTTAATGCAGATGAGAGCAGAATTCTGTTATGACTGTAGTCTAAGTCATCAAGTAATAACAATGTAAATCATTAGCAAAGAAATTAAATTGTGACAGCATACAAAAAAATTCTGTTGCTGGAGCTTTGATGATTCATTTCGATACTGTCAATTTAAAGAAAATTGTACATTTTCTCTTCCAGTGGGACCTGGTGTGTGATAATAAATTCCTGGTGGATTTGTCCTCCACGATCTATATGGTGGGAAACACGCTAGGGGCCCTCTGTCTTACGCCGCTGTCAGACAAGTTTGGCAGGAAGTGGATCATTCTTGGCATGCTCTGGATACAAGGGGCCATCGGCATAGGAACAGCCTTCGCCAGCAGTTACGCCATGTTCACCGTGTTAAGATTTTTTATAGCTTTACTAAACATGGTATGTTTTATACACTATTCCTCTTTATATTTTTAGGTCACCTGAGTAAACTCAGTTGACCTAATGCTATCCGTTTTCGTCCGTTGTCGTCCGTCATTCGACATGTGTCGTGCTTTAACATTTGAACATTTTCAGCTTCTTCTCTGAAACCTCTGAACCAATTTCAATAGAATTTGGCATAGAGCATCTATAGGTGAAGGGGAACAAAAATTATGAACTTCATGGTCCCTGCACCCCAGGGGCCTGGAGAGTAGGGCTTAAACCATTAAAGTTTTCTTCTTTACTCCTGGTCACCAAGCAGTCAAACTGTTGGTATGATTATAATCAGCACTGAGTCCTTTACCAAAATTGTGAAATTCATGGCCCCAGGATCAGGGGTTCTAGTGCTAAGATGGGGCTAAATAGATAATAGTGAAAATGCATAAATTCTTTGAAAGTCTTCTTCTCTGCTCCTGGGCATTAAATAAACTAACCAAGTACATTGATATGTTGAATAAGGCTGCATATACCAAAATTGTAAAAATCATGCCCCCTGGGTCAGGGGTTCTAGTGCTAGGGTGGAGCTATATTAATTATATAGTGAAAATGCATTATTTCTTTGAAATTATTCTTCTCAGCTCCCGGGCATTAAATATACTTACCAAGTGCATAGTTATATTGAATAAGACTGCCTCTTCTAAAATTATTAATCTCATTGCCCCATGCATGGTCAGGGGTGCTAGGGTGGGGCTATATAGATTATACAGTGAAAACGCATAAATTCTTTGAAATTCTTCTTCTCTGCTTCTGGGCATTGAATAAACTAACCAAGTGCATAGTTATGTTGAATAAGGCTGCATCTTCCAAAATTATGAATTTTAATGGCCTCAGGGTCAGGGGTTCTGGTGTTAGGGCAGGGCTATATAGATGATTTAGTGAAAAAGAATTATTTCTTCTTTTCTGAGCCTCAGTATTAAACCAATGAACTATGTACGTAGTCATAAAGAGGAAGGATGCCTCTTCGAGATTTATGAATTCTGTGGCCCCTGGGTCAGGGCTTCTTGTGTTAGGGCGGGGCTCTTATGTTTATATAATGAAAATACATGAACTTGTTATAAAGTGGAAATGCAGTTTCTCTTTGTTACTCAGATGTACTTCTTGGAATTTAGGAAACAAAGTAAGCATTCTAAGGTATGATTATTATAAGCAATGGTTCATCTTTCAAAATTTTGAATTTCATGGCCTTCGGTTCAAAACATGAATCAAATTCAATTGTTGAAAAGATGTTACGAGATACTCAAGTGACCTATAAGGCCAATGGGCCTCTAGTTTTTGTTCCCCTGCCTGTGGGTAATAAGAAATCAAACGTAAAACATGCAACATGTATACACATGATGCAATGGTGCCTCTTTCAAAATTTTTGAATTTCATGGAATGTGGTTAAAAACAATAATGAAATTAATTTGTTGGAAAGTTCTTACATGATACTTAGGTGACCTGTGGGCCTCTTATTTAAAACACAAACCTATTCAATTGGAAAGTTGTTACATGATACTCAGATGACCTATAAGGCCTTGGACCTCTTGTTTAAAACATACCAAACAATGGAAAATAATTCTAAATAATCCTCTGGCATTCACTTCAAAATTATTCAAGGTTTTACTTTGTTTATGTATAATATTTATAGTTCATATAAAAGAATTGAGTCTTCACAGAACAGAATACTTATATATCAATATTATTGCATACCTCTTTTATTTATTATTATTATATTGAAAACAACACAATGATGTGTTTCACTCTATATATTTGATTTTCTTCACTTCACAGTTTATCTTTTGAACAACAAACAGATTGTCATTTGTATCTCTACACAGTCCCCAGGGTTCACTCCGTCCACAGTGTACACTGTATACAAAGTGCTAATCGAAATTCTACTTGATTTGGATCACTAGCTATATTGCTTTGGGTACTCTGATGCATTATGGGTTAAAAAGAAAATTCTGCAGGCAAAAAATGGATAAAAGTAACTTTAAGAAATTAGGAAACTTATAAAACCTTTGTAGAATCAATGTAAATTTATTTGAGGAAATTTTTAAGTTGAAACATGTTAGAAATTCGGTACCGTTCTCATTTACTAAGTTAAAATGCTATTTTCACTCATTTTCAATTATTTCAATTGTTCTTAATTTTTTCAAAGTATACTCTGTCGTAAAAGTTATCGTATATAAGTTTTCTCCTCAATTCACCCACGAAACTTCATCTGATTTCTATACATTACGCTTTTTTGAGAAATTGAGCTATTCTTGTTTTGAGTGAATGCTATTATATGTTTGCAACATATTTTTGCGATTGCTATACTTTTTTCGGATCCTTTTACTGATTTGCATGAAATCAAGATTTATTGTTTTTTGATAAAGTTATTGCGATTTTAACAGTTTTGAAAACATATTGGCATTCATAATCACAAGTGAAACATTTATCAGTCAAAAGAAGTTAAACAGAAATAAATAATCATAGAATTTGATTAAATGTATAATAATTGCTGGCTTTTGTGCTATACTTGATTTGCATTTTGTCGTGATTGATACAGAAATGCTATGTTTGATTTGCCTAGAATACTTCTTGAAGAATGGTGACATATATAGGGGGGATATATTCCAAAGACACTTTCTCAAATTTATGTTATTAAATAACTTACAATGTATTGATAAATACACGTTATATATTTTCACTAATGTTTTAAAGGTATGTAAAAAGGAAAATAAAGGCTTCACAAACTACTAGTACTCGGACTCTCTCCAAAGCTCATGATAGGCGTGAGACTGAAAGCGTTAACCACTATAAGCTACGGTGTCTTCTTGATGGTTGTGTGTCAGTTTGCTTTAAAAAAAATGAATTGTTGAGACAAAAAATATTTTTCCATCTATTATTTAATCCTGGTTCGTTTTTTTTTTTTTTTGGCTTGCTTCTTTCACCCAACTGTTAGACCTTTGTTTTATACTGAATTTGATCACGACATGCCCCGTTTACTTGATAAATACATAGGGCTCACAGCGAGTGTGACCGATCAACAAGGGATGCTAACTCCTCCTAGGTACCTGTCCCCATCTCTGGTATTCCGGGGGGTCCGTATTTATGCCCTGCTCACATATTCGTATTGTTTGTAAAATTTTCGACATAAATCAATGCTATTATCCTCACTTTTTTAACATTCCAGAAATATTCGACTTTTAAATAGAATGGGTTCAGACTCCATTTAGAAAAAACACAGTGGGTTTACTTTTCCGTAATATAAGCACAAAACTTATGATAGAAACCTGACCCATTCATATTCAGAAATAAATTCTTATGGCTGGAATCATTTAATATAAATGGGTACCCATTTTCCACTAAATAAGTTTAAAAAACAATTTTCAATCAACATGTCTTTCAGTACAATACTATTACACTGTATATGAATCAAATATGCTGAAGATGACATTACCGACAACATAATTGTAGAAAAATCAAACTTTTCCGTCATAGAGCGGGTGATTGTCCTCGCCTTATACACTTTCTCTCTCTCTTTTATAAATCTATGATAACGAGATTATAATGCAACTTTTGTAATATTTCACCTATTTTCACACTTTCATCAGATATCAGAACTTAAAGCTAAGAATCTGAAACAGAGTCTATGAAGATTAAAGAAATACAAAAATTATATAGTTACAGAAATTAATTGATTATCTGGGATATGCTTTGATTTTTATGAAAAAAGATCCATGCATTTCTTCGAGAGACGTGGTACCTGTTTGTTTTCTTTTTATTACATGAAAACATATTTTAATATCCCATGCAATCTCTTCTTAACGCTTATTTGGCTAAATTGAAAATTGTAAATGAACGAAGCGGCATTAAGATTTGAAGCTGAATGCGTTTTAATCATTAAGTTTTCTTATCAAAACTTTGCATGCATATATATACCACTAAATATTTACAAAACTATGTGTATATATCAAGTGAATGAGTTGAAATCGATCTTTAAAATTGTTTAAGATTTTACAATTTGGTAAGCGACATTAAAGTTTTTTCTTTGGTATGTTTTTGTGATGAATGACTGTCATAAGTTGATGGAAAAAATTAGAATACCGGTATATACGAAAGAATGTAGCTTGTCCACCAATTAAGCCGACCCCTTCCCCAACCATAAAGTAGGGTTTTTGTGTCAGGATCTTTAAATGTTATGGACAACAATGTAATCCCCTCCCCTTCCAAAAGAAATTTATGCTGGATCCATCCTTTATTCCGGAATTTAAAAAAATGGAACTAAACATATTAATTAACGAAATAAAAACGTCATTAGAGTTGTTTCTATTCGAAAATTAAAAGATACTTTCACGAAAGGCCACACTACTTTTTCTATAATTTATACAAATACATATATGTATCACATTCAGTGACTGAGCATAAAACGCTCAAGGTGAGCATATGACACAAGGACCTCTGTGGCAACGCACTTTGAAAAAATTTTTCAAAGTGCGTTAAAATTGGGACAAAATCAACGCACTTTGAAAAATTTTTTCAAAGTGCGTTAAATTTGGGACCAACTCAACGCACTTTGAAAAAAATTTTCAAAGTGCGTTAAGAGTCTACATCAATATATCTTACCATGGAGACACTTAACGCACTTTGAAAAAAAAAAATCATATTTTAGTCATGGAAAAATTTTATTTGTTATTTATCTTTCAAAAAACTAAGCCTAACCTAAACAATGAATTGATTTCCTCCCGTCGAAAAGAGAAGAAGACGGGTATAAGATCCCTCAGTCCAAATCTTTATCTTTCCAATACATAGGTGTCGGTAACAAACGGGGGAGGGGAGCAATAAACCTAAAAAGGGTACGCTGCATTTTCAATGCTTATACGATGTATATATCTTTCCAAAATAAGCGGGGGGGGGGGGGGCTTAGCCCCGCCTCCCCTCCCCTGGCCCTTCGCCCAGTCTCGATGTCTATGCTATACTCAAAGCAGTCATATAATTATGTATTTACCTAACTGGTATGCCGTTGAAAACTTTCAATAATAAATGAGTTGATTAAAACAGATGAAAACTAAAAAATTTTAAGTACAGTAAAACGTATTTGAGAGAAAGAATTTTTATAGTTTTGAACAATCAAATTGGCCCATTTTTATTATGATAATTGCTAGGTTGCTTGAAGCTGTCCTCTGTTAGTGCCCCCTATACACCTTTACATCTACTTATCAAAGACTAGAATAAAAAAAAAAGAAGAAACGAATTAATGAACTTAAACAATCGTCACTCTTTTTTTCAAGACCCTTTAATTTTCCCTTTTATTTTATCAAAACCTTAAATATTTAAAACGTCAATATCTCAGGTCCTACAGTGACTTTATCATAAAAAAGTTATCAAACCAGGATCTGTTATTTATCATACCGATTATTTGAAGGAATATTGATCAATCTTTACATTTTTTTCAAAGTGCGTTAATATGATCGATATTAACGCACTTTGAAAAAAAATTATTTTTTTCAAAGTGCGTTAGCTTGGTCCCAAATTTTAACGCACTTTGAAAATTTTTTTCAAAGTGCGTAATTTTTCAAAGTGCGTTGTAACAGACCTCCTATGGACTGGGTCAAATTTGAAATGTAAGAGGAGTCTGGGGTAGAAAATATTGTACAAGACTGTTGTAAACACAAGGTAACGTCAATAAATTATTTCACTAATTGTACTAAGCCTAATTGCTATATGTATACTCGAAGAAAGTATAGCTGTCATGACAACAAAGATAGCCTTCTGGATATTTTCTACGCAAACCAAAAATAGCTCCGGAAAAGTTGGGTAGGTGCATATTTGATGTGATTGTCAAGATATAACGAAGACCTTATGGTCAAATTTGATAGCTAAACGTTTGATTAGGATTTATATTAAACAAAACAATAAATGTTTTATTGAAGTAATGTCAATAGTCCATTCAAGTGGCTAATTAGTCGAAAAATGACCATCAGATGCGTGAAAAACGCGTACTACCGATGTTTAAGGAAGGGTGGGTGACACAAAAGCATAAAAATCTTTAAATATATCAAGAAGAAGTCTCATATTGGTTGAAGTAGTTTTATTATTAATAAAAAACGTATATAAAAGACATTTTTTGTCCAAATGTGCAGACAGAAACTTCGAATGATCCAAACAAATATAGCTAGTGATCCAAATCAAGTAGATTTTCGATTAGCACTTTGTATACAGTGTGTATGTAACGGAGGAACTGTCCATCCTGGTCTATGATGTGGACACAGTCATTGTTATAATCAGCTGTAAGGATGTGACTCTGACTGTCTGAGGTGATTCCTAGTGGATAGAATGGTTCATTTTTTGGAGCAGGAGTATGTCCAGTGTACCTGAATCTCAGTTTCCCGGCCTGATTGACCACCACTACTGCTTTAGATCCCTCATTAGACACACAGATATCCAAGTTCCTGTTCTCAGTAATATATCCACTAAATGAAAAGAGAGGTTTACCTTTATCATCAAATTGAATGGTTTGTTTCTCTGTAGAGCCAGAGTAACGGACAACTTTTGTTGGTTTGTAATCATCACTGTTCATGATAATCAGGAGGTCACCAGAGGAGGTACAACAGACACCGCTAGGTCTACAGTTCTGTAATCTGATCACCTCCTCTATCTTCTCATTCTTCACAATGTTCACTGTTCTATTACTGTAATCAGTATAAACTAGATCTCCACTTATTGTCACTGCTATGTCCCATGGTCTGTTCCCTGACTTGGTTGTGATTGACTTGAGTAGTGATCCCTGATTGATGCTGTAGAGTTTCATGATGCTCTCATTTCCACTTGTCCAGATTTCTTCATCACTCAGACAGGCCACATTGTAAAGTTAATAATACCCAGTGTCTATGGTGGTGACAGTCTCTGGTTCATCAAGCAGCTGTTTGACAGGAGGAGAGGATCCAGCTTCTGGTGATTTCTGTGTTGTCTTCATGCTGTAGCCATGTTTATCTGAAGTAAAAGAACTCGACGATACAGTTCCAAATATTTTACTAAGTTCTTCATGAATTTTTCCTGGAATGAATTTGGGTAAAGACAGTGTAATTTTGTGTGGAAGATTTCTGTATATTTGTACATTGGGTGTGACACTTAATAGTTCTGACAAGTCATTAGTGTCTATTGCTATTTCAAGTGAATTAATTTCATCCTTGATGTCAGACATTGTCTTGTTTATATCAACCAGATGTTTCTGTAGAGTTTGTAACTGTGTGTTTTTCATCCCATCAACTTCAGCTTTAAGTTTCTTGACAAGTTTGTCAATTTCTCTGTGCCAGTCCTCTCCATGTGTTGTTATGGCTGTTGAGAGATCTCCATATTCCTTTTCTAACTGACTTTTTCTGTTTTGTACATCAGAAGCAATGTCCTGGTAGATGGGATATATTGTACCATTTAATTCATTCCTCTCTTTTATAATGATATCCTTCTTTTCATTCAGAACTCGCAGAATTTTAGATAATTCATGACTTAAATGTTGATTAGATTCAATGCAGTCGCTGCAGACAGGAATGTCACATTGTTTACAGTACATGATACATTGTTCTTTGTTATGAGATGTACATATAGGGTAGAGGGGGTGGATTTCCTGTCCTTGAAGTCCACAATTTTATGAGGTTTTGAGAAATCAACAGAAAAGTGTTTTCCAACACAGGCCGTACACAGGTTGACAAGACACGTATCACAGTGCATCTGTACCACAGCGGTCTCACACAGGTTGCATCCCATCACGTCCTGGGCACTGGTACGGGGGTCCATGATCAGAGTAGTCCTGTAGTGTAGAAAAAGGTGGCATTGTTAATGCAAATATCACGACTGTTATCGATATACTATCAAGTCACATGTATATTTATCCTTAGGAGAACGAAAATAGAGTAGATATTGAGTAGATATTCTAGAATTATGTTTAGCAAATGATCCTGAATTACTGTATTGTCAAGTGACAGTTTTGCCGCCTTAGTACGGGGGTCCATCATTATAGCAAAGTATAAAAATTCAGCATTAATAAGTACACAGGTTTGAGGACAACAAAAGTTTTTTTAAAAGCAGAGAATTAAATTGTATATCTGAGGCCATTAAACATGCAATTTTTTTTCAGATAATCACATGTAGATAGCGATAGTCGAGTCATCATGTTCAAGATTAGTTAAAAAGATATTGTTTACATACTAGTAGCTAAAGTGTACAGTACTGAATTTTCAAAATTTGCAAAAAGTTGAAGTTACTGTTTGTTTTTTACCTGATTTTACCTGAACGGGGGCCGTCCTGTCTCCTGATCTATGTATACACTGATCATGTGACACACCTGTATTATCTAGTCTTTATGTACTCTGATCATATGATATATCTATGTTATCTACCTGTCAGATTTAAAAAAAAATGTTCTCAAACTTTATTTGGAAACATGTGAACGCCATTATATAGATATGAATATATGTAAACATAGGTACATGTAATCAGAGATTACAGAGGTCACCTCAAGGAATGTTTTTAAGTAAGGCAAATAAGTTGCATAATTACCCAACAAAAAATGTGCATCCAAAAATTCAAACTTTAACCAATTTGATCTGATACTTTGTAATAGACCTATATAAAAACTTCAGACTAGTTTTTCAACACAAAAGTGTAATTAAAATCCAGCACCTGAAGCAAGTTTGAGAGTTTTCATCCTTTGATGCATCATTTAGGCAAATTTGGTTTATATAAGCCTTATAGTTTCTTGGTAATAGACCTGTACCCATAACTTTAACCTAGTCCATTATCTGGAAAATCTATGTCCAATTCAGCATCTGAAGCAAGTCCATTAGTGTGCATCCTAAGATGTATCATCATTTCAATTTTAGTCATTATACTGGTTGGGTGGAAACATAAATTCCACTATAATTATAGTGGTATCTCACCATTATAGTGAAATTACACTATATTTCCTGTCGTGGATACCCTTAATTTCATTCAATACCATGCAAGGTGTTTGAACCGCAAGTCATAGTGGGTATTAAAATGAACAAAAACTGTCATGCTTGCATGTTTTGAATTTTAATAAATTTTCTACCATTGCATTAATTTGAGCACTCTTTTTTAACGGAAGTTGCATTTTTAACCTAGCAACCGATGATTGAAGGATATTTAAGCCTGTTTGAATCACTTATTCCTCATTTATGTGCACACATTGATGCTTGTTGCAATTGTCAACTTGAACTGGAAAGGGTTTATGGAATTAAACAAGAATTGATCCAAAATTTAACGCACATTGAAAATTTTTTTCAAAGTGCCTAATTTTTCAAAGTGTAACAAAGCACCCGAGATCGTAGTGTAGATTCTAAATTGTTAAAATCATGACCCCCAGGGATAGGGCGGGGCCACAATAGGGAATCAAAGTTTGACATGGAAATAAATAGGAAAAATCTTTTAAAATTTCTTCTCAAGAACCACTGGGCCAGAAAAGCTGAAGCTTTTGAAAAAGCCTCCTGGTGTAGTGTAGATTTTAAATTGTCCAAATTATGTACATGAATTTCATGAACTCTGGTTCAGGGGTTTTGTTGTTAGGGTGAAGCTCTATTGATTACACAGTGAAAATACATTAATTCATTAAAAAATTTTCATCTCTGCTTCTGAGTATCAAACCATTGAACATAGTTATAATGAGGAAGGATACCTTTTCCAGATTTGTGAATTTCAGGGCCCCATGGT